ATATTCATATATACCTATATCTATATATATATACACGAAACGGGGGGGGCACATAAAAAACACCATAAACAAACAAAACAACCATTGTACCCCCCCCTCCGCCCCAAGATTATTGGCACCCCCTTCTGCATTGAAATTTACACACGACTCTGCCCCATCGCCCACCAAAATATGAACTCGTACCATCCCAGTCCAGCCGGCATCGATGACCCTACCCTCGCCATCCCCTGCAGGAACATACTATGCGCGCACACTCGCGCATCACAACTCATCCATGTTCAAGAACTCCTTGCAAGAAACACATGAAAAACAAAACGGCAAGCACACGCGGGCGTCGTCGCGCGCGCATGCCAAAATCTTTCAAAGACACTCGGTATCGTAAGGATGTCAATATGAATCCAATAAACATATAGGAACACATGGTTTCGCAACAACGATTTGCAAAAAAGCGTGCGCTCGCGCCCTCGCCAAGTTTTATTTCAGTAATCCATAAGTTTGTTGTTCCGAGTTTTGCATAACATGCTACCGAATGGGGCTTCGCGCGCGCATGCCGAGATCCGTCAAAAACCATGGGTTTCGCAAGGGCGTCGAAACCGAATGTCGCGAAACCATACAAACACACACGGTTTCGCAACACCAGTTTTCAAAAAACAACGGCGCTCGCGAACTTGCGAATACTGACAGCGACCATGGGTTGTTCAACATGTTCATGGAATTCTGCCGAGCGGGCCTTCCGCGCTGCATGTCGAAATGATTCGCGTGCCCTTGCGCGCGCTGGGAAAGCACGATCCACGTCAAATAACACCATGCGGGCCACTCCCGCGCGTCGGCCGCGCGCACATGTCGAACTCCGTCCAAAACCTTCATCGCCGACGCGAGGGCGCCGTCATCGTCGTCGGCGTGATCAGCATCGGCGCCATCGCTGGCCGTGCCGCCGTCGTTGTCAACATCGTCACTAGCATCGCAACTATCATCGTCGCGTCTACCGTCGTCGACGTTGCCATGATACCGCGGCCACGTCGGTCGCGCCAGATTCGCTGGCCGCTGCGCGCGCTCTTGGGCTGGCCGGCTGCAGGGGTGCACGGGTCAGCGCCATGCGATCATCGCAATCGCCGCTGCTTGGGTTTTCCAGACCAAGTCGCGGGTGGGCGCACCGCGTAGATTGCGCGCCGCATAGACTCTCCCCCAGGATTGCGCGTTCCTCTTTTCGCATTGCCATTTACACGCGACTCTGCCCCATCGCCCACCTAAATATGACCTCGCACCATCCCAGCCCAACCGGCATCGACACCCCCCCCCGTCATCCGCTGCAGAAATATACTACACGCGCGCACTCGTTAAACAAAAACTACCCATGTCCAGGACCCCCTTGCAAACAAAGAAACGACGAGCACACGCGCGCGCGTCGTCGCGCGCGCATGCCGAGATCCCCCCAAAGCCCCCCGTTCCGAAAGGATGTCACAAATCAAATGTTTGTTGATTTACATACATATATAAAGGCATGGTCTCGCCATAAAGAATTTCAGAAACAGAAAGAAAAAACGCGCTCGCGCTCATCGCAATTCTTAGGAAAGCCATAAAATTGCTGCTCAACGTCTTCATGAAATTCTACCAAACGGGTTTCGAACGTCCAAACGCCCTCGCGCGCGCGTGTCAAAATCGTTCAAACGTCTCTGCGCGCGCGTTGACGCAAGAATCCCGTTGCCAAAAAACGACTCGAAGTGCGCGCGCGCGTCGTCGCGCGCGCATGCCGAAACCCGCCAAAAACAATGGGGCTCGTAAGGGCGTCAAAACCGAGTGCCCCGAAACGCAACATCAGTTTTCATCAAAGCCTGCGCTCGCGAACTTGCGAATGCTGAAGAAGACCATGAGTTGTTCAACGTGCTCGTGGAATTCTGCCGAGCGGGATCATTCGCGCGTCCTTGCGCGCGCGCTGGGACAGCACGATCCACGTCGCATTATACCTCGCTGACCATTCTCGCGCGTCGGCCGCGCGCGCATGTCGAACTCCTTCCAAAACCTTCATCGCCGACGCGAGGGCGCCGTCACCGTCGCCGGCGCGATCAGCATCGGCGCCGTCGCTGGCCGCGCCGTCGTCGTCGTCAACGTCGTCGCCAGCGTCGCTACTATCATCGTCGCATCCACCGTCGTCGACGTCGCCACGATACCGCGCCCGCCCAAGTCGCCGACTCGCATTGAAATGCCCGCTGGGGCACACCCCGCGGTCAGCGCCACCGCGGCCGCGTC